CACACACACACACACACACACACACACACACACACACACACACACACCAGGCCAGCCCCAAACATGGCCCAGGATTTACTCCCCTGGTGCTAGGGTTACAGACATGCACCATACGCCCAGTTATTACAATATTGGGGCTCAAATCCAGGACCTCGAACATGCTGGGCAAGCACTCTACCAACTAAGCCACACCCCAGCTTTTCCTTGTTCCTATAATGAGGTGATGGGAACAGAACACAGGATCTCTGCTCCTCTGACATGCTGGGAAAGGACATTCAAAACCGGACTTAGGACTGGATGAGCCTTCCTACTCCCGCTCATTGCTGTGTGACATTAAACTTCTCCAAAGTCTGTCTGTTTCAAGACCAACAGACTTGGGGGTTCATGAGTTGGCTGTACGTGCAGCATCCTATTATTTATGAAGATAATTTTCTAATTTTGTACCAGACCAGATTTTTCACTTTAGCCAGAAATATTAATTTTGCCTCTCTCTCCTTCCTCCCTTTCAGAGCCTGCTGAAACGCTACCAGCCCCACCGGGTCCCTTCCACATGCTGTGCCCCTGTGAAGACCAAGCCACTGAGCATGCTCTATGTGGACAATGGCAGGGTGCTCCTGGAACACCATAAGGACATGATTGTTGAGGAATGCGGGTGCCTCTGACAGAGCCAGGGCAAGGACTGAATCCGCTTGCCCTCCACAATGCTGGTAAACTCCAGGGAGACGCATAGTGTCCATTCATGGAGCAGAAACGGAAGAAGGGCTCTGCCTGCCAGAGCTGAAGAGGAAGTCCTGCCCCCTGTGCTTATAGGGCTCTTAGACCTGCCAGGCCAGAGGCTACTGTGGGGAGGCAGGAATGGGGAAACCTTGCAGGGCTCCCTGGAAATAAGGGTTATGAACTGCACGAGCACTCTTTAAACTCTGAAGCCCTTGAAATGGTGTGCAAAGGCTGGGGTATATATGTATTTATTTTTTTTTTTTTGAGGCTACCTGTAGCTTTCCTGTATTCTTAAAAGTGGCCTGTGACCCACTGTCCTTCCCTAAAGATCAGTATAATTGTATTAGATTAAAACTAGCCATTTGGCTCTCCCTGATTCAAGCTGCGCTAGGGGAGCCCCACAACTTTCTAGCTGGCTGGCGCTAACGGGCTGGCCTTCCTCAGGGGCTTCATGACCTCTGCTAACGAGCTACCTAAACAATAAAGTCACTGTCCAGTTCTCCCAGGTCCAGCTGTGCCTTTGACCAGAGAGGCAGGCACTCATCCAAGAGGGACTGGCCATGGTGGACTACAGAAACCAGAGCTGTCAGACGTCTGCTTGGCAGACATATAACCCAAGTCTATTAAAAGTCACTGAGAATTCACCCCAGGCTCTCAAGATGTGTTTTGGGGTTCCGAGGTTCCAATCCAGCAGGGGATGAGGCTGTGGTCATAGATTTTTGTAGAGAGGCTGTGTGATGTGGGAGAACTTTCACTGCTTGGCCTCCCCTTGTGAAAAAAGTGGCAGAGCCTGATTGGTTTGTAGGAAGTACCTCTAAGGGCTAGGGAAGGATTAAAATTCAGTGGCAGCTACTTGTTTAGTATATGAAGGACCCTGGGTTAAACCCCAGCATGAAAAGCTGGGCCTATGGGTGCACACCTTTAATTAACAGCACTTGGAAGGCAAAGGCAAGAAGAGCTGGTCTTTATGGTGAGTTCTAGGACAGTCAGAGCTACACAGTGAGATCCTGTCTCGAAACAAACAAAACTCAGCATTTGATTGTCCTCTGGGCTTTCTCCCGCTTTCGAGATTTTAAACCTTAAAGCAGAAGACCTGCTCAGCCCTGTTGAAACCACCCTTTTGGGGGGGAGGGGTGACTAGCTCCTGATCTGCATGGCAGCATGAAAGAAGGAAACTCAGATGCCTAAAGAAAGTTCTATTACAACTTCCCTCCCCCCCAAAAGCAAACATCAAAACCTTTAATTCCAGCACTGGGGAGACAGAGACAGGCGGATCTCTGAGTTCAAGGCCAGCCTGGTCTACAAAGCAGTTCCAGGACAGCCAGGGCTACACACAGAATTCCTGTGTGTGGGGGTGGAGGCAAGTTCCATCACTAGGGTATCTGCTTATTCTTTTGACTGGGGGATGGAGCTGTTTTGGGGGGTATGCAGGTCTGCAGCTCTTCCTCCTAGGATGCCCATCCACTCTGCTCCAGCCTTGGCTGAATCAAGGCAGTGAGACTGGTCCAAGCAGGGACTGGGTTGGCTACAACCTAGCCTGGGCTTGGCAAAGGTGACTGAGCAGCAGAGCTGGGTCTAAGAAGCTCTGAGCTGAGCAGTCCAGTCATCAGGGTTCCACATTGAGGTTTGAGTCAGGATCTCCCTTTAGCCCTGACCGACTTCAAACTCAAGGCAATTCTCCTTCCGATTCTCAAATGCTGGGATTACGCATCTCTACCGCCATGCCGAGCCAAATTTTACTTTTGAAACAATGTTATGGGGTCCTCTTGTTCCAAGGGCTTTCCTGAATGCTACCCCAGAAAGCCTTTATGGATATCACAGCAGTCCTGAGAGATGCAGGGCACCTGGATGGGATCTAGAGGACCAGGCTAACCTTAGATCAAAGGCTTGATCCTCGGGACTCGAGCCCACTATGAACAGCTGAACTTCTTGGAGTGAAGTGGCCTCTCGGGGGGCTTTAGGAAGCAGGTGCCTGCAGTTCTTTCACAGCCAGACAGCAGGGCCGAAGGCCAAGCTATTTGTGACTCCAGCTTGTGGGAATGTTTATGGTTGGCTGTTCTGTGAACCTGGGATGAAGTTCCCTAGTGACAAGGTATTGCCTATGTCAAGTTGGGGATGTGGGCACAAAGTGATCAACAACATGTGCTGATTACGCTCATCATGCTAGCTGCAGGACCACTGGCTGGCTGCGGGTATCTGGGTACCAGTGTCTACCAGCTGCTCCAGATCTGGTCCATGGGTTGGCAGAATGCCTTGGACATCCCAAAGGACTTCCTCTGAGAACTGTCCTATCTGAATGTAGGGCTTTTATAGATTATTTGCTCTTGAGGCAAAGGTCTGATGTTCTGCAAGTGCAGGGCCAAGGGCATAAACAATAACACACACACACACACAGTGCAGGTGGGTCTGACAGTAGCAGAGACAAAACGATACAGAGTTCAGGGACGCACAGCTGTGACCCTCTGCACCATAACTTGAGTTCTCCATGTTAAGAACTCTTTTAGCCAGGCAGTGGTGGTGCAAGGTGCTTTTAATCCCAGCACTTGGGAGGCAGAGGCAGGTGGATCTCTGTGACTTCAAGGCCAGTCTGGTCTACAGAATGAGTTCCAGGACAGGCTCCAAAGCTGCAGAGAAACCCTGTCTGGAAAAACAAAAACATCCTTTCACAGCAGGAGACCCCATTCCTCCATCTCCAGTCCCAGCTCCGAGTTCCCTTTAGTCCTAGCTTTAGACAGTTGTGTCTGCTCTAACCCACATCTGCACAGAGGGTCTCAGAATAGCCCATGCAGTCTAGAGTGATGGAGCACAGATGTGCACCAATTGAGTTCTCCAAGAACTGGCTGTACCAGCACTAGAAACAGATTCTCCTGATCATAAAATCATTTCTTTGCCCTGATAGAACCAGAGGTTGAGAGATCTAAGGCCCAGCACCAAACCTCTACGCTACTACACTGTCTTGACACCTGTCCGTCCACATCCACCAACACGAGAAAGCCAAGCCAGGCTCATGTAGCACAGCCTAGAATGGCTCTCACCTGTGGGTCTAATACCGGATATGTGTATCAGATACTCATAATCCATAGCAGCAGTAAAATTACCATTATAAAACAACGATGAAAATTATTTCATGGTTGGGGAGTCACCACAGTATGAGCAACTGTGTTAAAGGGTCACAGCATTAGGAAGGTTGAGAACCACTGGCTTAGAGCAAGTTATATATGCCTTCTCAGAGCAGGGAGAGGCCATTAAGTTCCTGTGCTCACGCTCATAGGACCAGAATGACTGATCCACTAGGTCTCTTCTGCCTGGCTTCTCCAGCTGAGACTCGCCAAATGTGAACAACCTGCAACAGCACACCAGACACTACTCTGGTGTGTGTGTGTGTGTGTGTAGGCCAGGCTGACTTCCAACTTAAAGCAATCTTTCTGCCTCAGTCTCCTGAGCAGTGGGTTTTCAGGTGCAAACTCTGTGTGGTATCTGACCCCAAATAAACAAGGAAAAGAAAGAAGGAAGGAAAGAAAAGCAAGCAAGCAAGCAAGCTGGGTGCCCACAGCATTCACCTTTAATCCCAGTACTGGAGAGGCAGAGGTAGGCAGATCTCTGAGTTTGAGGCCAGTCTGATCTACAGAGCAAGTTCCAGAACAGCCAGAGCTGTTACACAAAGAATCCTATCTCAAAAAATAAATAAAATCAATATACCAAGAGGCCTTTAAATCTAGCACTCAAGAGGCTGAGGCTTGTGACTCTTTGTATTCAAGGCCACCTTGGTCTATATGGGAAGTTCTAGGTCATCCTACAACTATAGTGAGACCCTATCTCAAAAACAAAAACAAAAAAACTTAACACACTAAGTTCAGGCTGGCTCCGTGGAAGTGTACCTGTAGTATATGTGAAATGCAGGGTTCACTGCCCAGCACCACAAAACACCAAGTCAATATTCAATGTCTTTATTTAGCTGTAACAGCAACCGCTGGTGAAAATTTTTTCCCTAGTTCCAAACACCTGCTGGCTTGGAAAGACAGTAAGAAAACAAACTGGTCATGGAATCACACAGGACTGTCTTAGGATTGCATGGAACCTTCCACTGACCATTGCTGACAGCGAAGGGGGGGGGGGAGGTAAGGGAACAGCACATCAAGGGAACCAAGTAGGAGGACCAAGGAAAGTACTGGCAGCCTCTGAAATTCCATCCCATGTGGCTAAGACTGCAGCAGTGAACAGGGGAGGGCCTATCAGAAAACACAAATTCTTAAAACGGACAACTGGGAATCAGAGTCCTTGGGGTTCTTCAAGTTGCCTTCTTTAAGGCTTCCTGGAGCTGGCCTAGGAGCCACCAAGTGGGGCCAAGGCATTGGTGTCACGCTGGCCCCTACCTCCTGCTGGTGTCCCCACTCTCTTGCCCTCCAGTCATAACCCCCAGGCCAGGGCTGGGCAGTTTTTAAGACTGAAATGGAGAGGAAGGAGGTATGGAGGCAAGAATGGGCATTCTGTGCTAGATTCGTGGATTCTCTAAGTTCGCAATGCCCTGGATTTGGAAACATCAGCACAGCCAAGTGTCTACCAGGTATTCGGCCTCTCATTGCCACCCTTCCACCTCTGAAAGGGAAGCAGAAGTTTGTATCCACTAGGACTGTTTCCGTTCAGTTCAGTAGCCTTTTCTACTGGACACACAGTATGGCCCACTAGGTTGCAGGAAGAGTTGAGCAAGCAGAGGGAAACCACAGACCACCCAAAGACTTTGAAAGCAAGCTCTGCCATCCAGGACCTGCCTAAGGGAAAGCTGGTTTCAAAGGGTGGGGAAGGTATCTTGACTGATCAACTGGAAAATTGAGGACCCGTCAGTCATCTTTACAGTCTTCAGCTACTGTGAGCAGCTTCAATAAAGTCCACCACTACCATGAAAAGCACTGCCAGAGCAGGGAGCATGGCGGGATGGCAAGCACCAAAGGACTGCCTCAACTGCGGGAGCCTGAATTCCCGTCACTAAAGGCTGAGAGGCAAGGGGCTGTTGGGTAGCTCAAAAGCTCAGACAGGACCCTCTACCCCAAGAAGAAATGGTGTTCTTCCACTATAAATCCTGCCTTCCATGGTAAGGATGGGTCAGTGATTGGGTTTTCGCAGATTAATAAATAGCTGCCGTGGGCATGGAGTCCAGAAAACACACCAAAGAACTACGTGAAGACAGTAGTGCCTTTCCTCTAGAGGGAATAAAAAGGGTTATACCACACACCCCTCCAGCAGCCAGCACCCATGATGGAGGTGGGAAGGAGGCTCCCTACCTGATACATGCCTGGTACACTAGTGCCCTAACTCACAGTGGCAGTTTATACAAGCAGGCTGGATGGACTTTCAGTGGAACACAACAGATGAGAGGCCCAAGGAGACAGGAACAAGAGCTTCCCATCCCTCACCCCTAGAAGGAAACCCACCACGAGAGCCCGAAATACATTCTAAAGCAAGCATGGCTACCAAAAAAGAAAAAAAAAAAAGGCTAGTAAGACAGAGCACCAATCAAACAAGAGCCTCTATCTAAAGATGGGGAGAATGGATGGCAGGGATAAGAAGACATCCCATGAGGTTCGAGGCACTGGTAAGCCACCTCTGAAGCTTCCCCTGCAGGGGAAAACAAGACTGCTGCTTTGCATGCTGCACTGATCAGAGCAATCAAGCACAGACAGACACCTCCATTTCCAGGTGTCCCTGGGTCAGACACCTTGACCAATGCATGCAGGTAGCACCTGACTTCAATATCATCACCAGGAACTTGAACTGCTTTCTGCTCTGTAACTCATGAACCTGACACATCTAATGTCCTTTGACCAGAGGTGCCAGATAAACACCACTCCAGTTAAGAAAGTTTGTATGGCTGCACAGAAAGGCCCCCAATTCCTTTTGTCAACTTTGGGCTAAAGGAAGACAGAAGGGGTAAATGATGCTTGAAGAGGCCACCTCAAAATCTCATAAAAGCAAGTGTTCTTGAGAAAACAGGCAGATGGGGGGGGGGGTGTGCAACGGATCTGGGAATCTTCATTTCTTGCTTCTCTTAAGACAATTTGGTCCCACTTTAGAGGGCTGTTTTGATAGCAATGTGCACCCAGTTTATGGCTGTGGCTATCCCCACTTCCCTGAGGACTGCTTTCCTCCTGTTAGGGACATGGTGGTATAAAGGCACTGCAACTTTCTTCTTACCCACCTCCTTTCTAGGATCAGTCACTCAGGAGGAAGCTAGGTGCTATGGCATGATACCTAACAGAGACTCATATGGAATGAGGAAGGCACCCTGCTGACAACCACAAAAACAAAGTATGGAAGTGGGATTCGCCAGCTCCAGATGAGAGCAGCCCCCACCCACAGACTACATGCACCTTCATGAGACCTCACGCTAAAGCTCCATGCTGAGCAGCCCCTAATCCTATTTGAGACACCAACAGGTAGTGTTTACTATTGTGAGATACTCGGCTGACAGGTAATTTGTTACACAGCAGTAGATAACTTACTATCTAGAAGTCAGCTTTTCCACTCCAGTGCCCTGGAGGAGGCAAGGAAGCGTCTGTTTCAGCAGAACACGAGGGCTGGGGACTCAGGGGGAAGGGCACTGCTGGTGTCTCCTGCCAGGGCTGGAGCTTCTTCCTCATGTAGGTTGATTGTCCCAAGTGCAGAAACACATCCTTCATAGCAACAGTGTGGATGGCTACTAAGGTTTAAATAACTGTTTTCTTCAGGAGGGAGGCTGGCAGATTAGGACCGTAGACCCTCCATTTAAGGCTCCAGCTGTGAGGCCTTTTGACCACCCAGAGGTGAACCCTCACTGGACCCTGCTTACTAGAAAATGGCTCATGAGGCATGGCACAAAAATGCCATCTGCTGGAAGCTTATGTCCTGTCTTGTGCAATTATCTTACGATGCTCGTGTATGGAGGTCAAAAAACAGTGGCCTTCATATAAGGCCTGCACCAAGCAGTGAGGGGTCCTGGCAGAGGACATAAGGCTAAAAGACTCCTGCACCACGCAGGTGACACTCCAAGGAATACTAGACATGTCTTCTGATTGAGGAGGGGCGCACATGCAGACTCTCCAAGATGGCAAGAAAAAGGAAAGTTTCTCTATCCTATTCAGCTGCCATGTCTCCCTTCCCAGTGGTGGGTCCAGGAAGCCACTCTGCTCCAGACAGCGTTCAATGAGGAAGCGTATATTCTTCTGCACACTCACGCGTCCTCACTGCAGAGTCCACAGGGTGCCAACACCAGTGTGAAGAACCATGAGCCTTGCTCCCGAAGAATGAAGCTTCAGAGTACAGAGGTCCTGAGCAAGCTGCTTATGCCAATGGCAGCACAACTTAAGTTTTCCCAAGACTCCATGAAATAAAACTTGGAGTTTAATTAAAAACATAACAGATACATTTAACAAAGAAATAAAACTCTTCTGATTATCAACTTGGAGACTCCAAGAATCCCCAAACATTGGAGAGACCCAGCTTATTCCTGAGACAGCGACCGTCACAGAGGGCTGCAGTACAAGCTATTCACATTGTGTGGCAGGAAACAGAACAAGTTCTGCAGATGTCCTTCCTTTTTCCTAAAGTCTTCACAAAACAGGGTCTTTCCATGGTGCAAAGGAAAAACCAACAGCTTTCTTTCCCAGCCAATGGGGATCTGAAATCTCACTAAGAGGGCTTAGACAGGCATCCAATAGAACCAGAAACTCCCAGGACACCAGTGGCTGCTGCACTGTCTTCCTGGAGGAGGACGGATGCATCAGCCTGTCTATGGGGGCCTCTCTCCCGGGATCTCCCTGTCGGTCCACAGTACCGGGAGAGTGGGGCGGGGAGGAGCAAGAGAGCAAAAAGGTAAAGGAAAAGAAGTTTTCGCCAACAACTCATAGCAAGGTAGACTGGTCCAGTTTCACAAACCACCCATTCTATACTCCAAATACCCCTCCAAACTTGAGAGCACAGGAAAGCGCTCAGAACACATGACAGTGAAGACAGTAGACTTGCCTAGGAACATTTTTTTATAACCTTCCTAACATTGGAAGATGTTTTGTTAAAAAAGTTGCAGTTCAAAATCGTACTGAAAACTTATCTAAAAATAGGTCTGTAGTCATCTTAAAAATAAAAAGTCTCTCTTCTGATAAGAGAAGAGACAGATATTATCAGATACCAACATGGGAGGTATCTTTGATGTAGATTTAGAAAATGGCCTGGTGGAAGAACCAGAAGGAAAGAGAGTGAGGTTTGAAAAGGAGAGAAAGAAGGGAAGCAAGGATGGTCTGCAAATGAGGAGGAGAAGGAAACTGGGAGGAACGCACTCTTTCAGCCCATGCTTCTCTCTCGGCAGCCAAGGATAAAGCAGATTCAGAGGAGGGGAATAGGGACGTCAACTTTAAATTTAAGATATAATAAACTGTAGGGCAGCAAACCTGCTAAGGTCTATCAGGTTTAAACTATGACTACTAGGGATGGCTACTTGTGTGGCTCAGTCCTCTACAGAGGCCAGAGTTAGGCATTCTCAGGCAGACAGCTGGGACCAGCTGTGCCCACCAGGTGGAGACCAAAGCACTGGCACTTCAAATGACTGCTCTGGGAGCAGACAGAAGCCCCAGGGCATCTTGGAGTGAAGAGGATTCTGCCTGCAAGATGCAGGTAGGAAGAACAGCAGACAAGCAAAGACCACCTGGTCACCCAAGGGTCTCTTCAGAAGGAAGGTTTAAAAAATACCTGTGCCAATGAATTAGATAAGGGAATGGGGAGATAAGCCATCACACCCAGGACAGAAGCCTTCTCCCCAGAGAAAAGGGAGCTCATGCCATGTGTCCCAGGAATGCAATTGGAGCTACAGGAGGTACAAGAGCTGTGCTCCAGTACCGAGGACAAACATCTCCAGTATAGGGCAAGTGAGCTTGTTTATCATTCTTCAGAATGGTTTAAAGATCCCACATCCAGCACTGACTCGCCAATGGGATGCAAGGAGGAAGACAGAAGAGAGTACAGGAACAGCAATGGGCACCAAACCTCCTTCCCTCCCCAGTCACCCCAAGCAGAGGTGCTTCTTCTTAGAGAGTTCCTGGACTTGGGGCAAATCAGAAGGGGGCAGAAGATTCTTAGGAAATGAACAGGCAAGTTACAGGGACTGCTTTCCTCCAAGGACCAACTGCTCAGTTCCACAGAGGAATCCAAGGGCTTTCATCCTAACCTTAATGGGGCAGGGGCAGGGGACAGGGGAAGTTGTGGTCAATGGAGCTTATCTCCCATCATTTGGCACCCAGAGGGAGGGGAGGGGGAACTGCTGGCTTCTCGGTTCACTGCAATCCTACTGGCCCAGTCAGGTCACATGGGTTGCTGCGCTGAAGCCTCCTTTGACTGTGTGGCAGTCAGATGTCCATTTCAAACTGGGCCTCATCCCCTGGTTAGAAGGAAAGAAAAGAAAAGAGAAGTTTAGTACGAAAAGTAACAGCGAAGCTGTTTTCTTTCTTTTTTCGTTTTTTATAGATATTTGTTATGTATACAGTGCTCTGTCTGCATGCCAGAAAAGGAAACCCGATTAAATTACAGATGGTTGTGAGCCATCATATGGTTGCTGGGAATTGAACTCAGGACCTCTGGAAGAGCAGTCAGTGCTCTTAACCTCTGAGCCATCTCTCCAACCCAGCAAAGCTGTTTTCAATGTCTTTCTCTACCTACAAAGGACAAAACTAATAAAAATGTCCTGTTTTCTGTGGCCCACGATACCTACTCCTGAGGGTAATACTAGCAGTCAAATTCAATACTTAAATTTGAGGTGAGGTTGGGCTACATAGCAATAAAACCTCGTTTATTTTTGTTCTGGCCGGCCAGTCTCATCTGGGGGTGGGTGTGGAGAGAGAGTGGTCACACCAGGTGAGGTGTAAGGGGATGTTTCCAGCTTTTCCACAGACCAACCCCACTGCAGCTCCTGGTCACTCAAGGAAGCACACTCTTCTGAAGGCTTTGAACTTGGCTCCTGCTCTGAACTGACACTTGCAGTGTGTGTGTGTGTGTGTGACAGCCTACACTCAGAATCCAGGCACTCAGGAAGCTGAGGCAGGAAGATTGCTGCAAGTTTGAGGCCAGTCTGAGCTTCATGGTGAATTTTCTGCAGCCTTGGCCAAGAACGAGACCTTGCCCCCACAAAAAAACCCCAAGTAAACAAACAAACAAAAATGAAAACAAACACCTTAATTGGAGATTCAGAGAACATGACGCATAAATTCTGAGGTGAGCACAAGGCCACTTCATCTCGTCCCGCTCTAAAGGTGCAGGGCAGTCCCCTAACATAGTCACTCAATGAAGAAAGCAAATCTGTTTTCTTCTCTTTCTCTCTTTTTTTGGGGGTGGTGGTGGTGGTGGGGAAACAGGGTTGCTCCTTGTAGTCCTAGCTATCTTGGAAGTTGCTCTGCAGACCAGGCTGACCTCGAACTCACAGAGATCCACCCGGGATTAAAGGCATGTGCCGCCGCCACCACCTGGTCAGGTTTACTTTCTGAGGTTGATGGGAGCAGGTGGCCTAAGATTCTGCTTTGGGGTGAATGTGTGCATGTGCACACTTGTTCATGCAAGGAGGTCGCAGGGACAATGTGTGTGCAATTGTGTCTATGTGGGCGATCCCTAGCAAATAAAGACTCCCATAGGCATGGCTCTAATTCACCTTTGGGTTGCCATCCTTTTTAAAAGACTGTGTCTACCTATATAGACCAGGTGGCCTCCAACTCCCAGAGACCTGCCTGTCTCTGCCTCCTGAGTGCTGGGACTGAAGGTGTAAACCTCTACATCTGGTTCCCATTCTGATTTGTTTTTCCCCTAGCAACTAGGGGGAAACTGAAAGCACTTCAGTAGATGTTTAGGAGGAGAGCACGTCATGCGCACGACTGCAGCTGTGCTTTGATGAAGCAGCATGTCTCTGTCTACAGTCCACCCCAGCACCACTCCCCAGCCCAGCCCCTCACCAACTGCATGTTTCCTGTCGTGATTGTTCAGGTTGTTCAAGTTGTTCACTTCTACTTTGGAGTCTTCAATTAAGGTGCCAGGGCTGGTGACTCCAGGGATATTGGGCAGATGGCAAGGTGGGGTCTGTGCCATGGGAGAATTGCGACGATCCAACAGAAACTTTCGGTCATAAATGATTCGTGTTCCTAAAACACAAGGTTGAAGAGTTCCAATTAAATTAAGGTACCACCAACACAATGACTTCTGAAGCTGGATACTTGTGTGGCTCAGTCCTCTTCAGAGGCCAGAGTCAGGCAATTCCCAGGCAGACTCCTGGATCAGCTGTGCCCACCAGGTGGAGACCAAAGCACTTCAAATAATTGCTCTGGGAGCAGACAAAAGTAAAGGGGCATCTCAGAGAGAAGAGGAAGAATAGCAGACAGGCAATGACCACCCGGAATCCCTTCCAGTGTCACCTAATCCTTGGTGTCAATCCAGCTAAGAGGAGAGACTACCCCCTCCCCACGAACACGGAGGGCAAGGCGCTCTGCTTCTGGGAAACTCCTGTTGATTCTCCAATGCCACTCTCTCCCCTTCACCAGTTCTTTTCACATCACGCAATACATCACCTTGTGCAGGACTCCTGCCTATGTATGTGTCAGTCTACAGAATTCAAGCTCCATATGGCAGTTGTGTCTTTCAAAACTGAACACCCCCCACCCCGCCTTTCTCCTTAAGAAATTGAACCTGGGTTGAAGTTCTGGATCTAAATCTTGTTTCAGCCACTTACCTACTAGACCAACTTAATTCCCAAAGAGCACTGGTGTTTTATATGTCTGTGTGAGGGTGTTGAACCCCTGGAACTGGAGTTACAAACAGTTGTGAGCTGTCATGTGGGTGCTGGGAATTAAACCCAGGTCCTCTGGAAGAGCAGAGCAGTCAATGCTCTTAACCACTGAGCCACCTCTCCTGCCCCCATCAAGATAAATTTCTTAATCAAAGACTAAGCAAATATAAAAGTATGTGAAAAAGTAGATAAACACCTTCTATTAGAGGCTACCCAAAGAAACCTGGAGGCTGACCACCTCCCTAGAGAGACAGAATACCGTATTTCTTCAAACATAGACCTAAGGATGGCTCAGCAGATAGAGGCAGTTGCTGCTAAGCCTGTTTAACAGGTTCAACACTGGGTCTTACATGGTGGAAGGAAATGGGTGATTGCCAAAGTCCGTCCTTTTTAAAAACAAGATTATTGTTAGTTTACAAATGAGTATTTTACCAACGTACATGTGTGTATACTGAATGTACCGAGACCAGGAAACACTGGATCCTGGGCAACTGCAGTAACTGGTGTTATGAGCCACCATGTGGGTGCTGGGAGCAGAACCCAGGTCCTCTTGAAGAGCTTCCAGTGCTCTCCAAGCCCTCTCTCCAGCCGCAAAAGTTGTTCTTTGACCTCTGCATACACTGTGGCAATGTAAGCCCATGCCAGGACATAAAATACACAATAAACCACTTGCAGTCAGTCTGCTGAGGTTTTTGTCAGCTAGCATGTATGTTACCTGGCAGAATCAGGAGGCCTGCAGCTCACAAGTTGTCTCATAGGCACAGTGTTTATAACCTCTGAACTTGAGACTGAGCAGGGAACTGCTAAGAGTTCTGGGCCAGTCTGGACTACAACGTGAGACCCTACCTGAGTGTCTCCTGCTAAAGAAAAATAAAAGAAAGAAAGGAAGAAAAGAACTGCACACCTGAAGCTTCCCAACTCAAGTTGCCCACAGGTGCATTACATCAGGGGCTGGAGAGCTGGCTCAGTGGTTAAGAGCATCAGCTGCTCTTCCTAGAGGTTCTGAGTTCAATTCCCAGCAACTGCATGTAGCTCACAGCCATCTATAGTGGGATATGATGCCCTCTTCTGGTGTGCAGGCATAAATGCAGATGGAGCACTCATTCATAAAATAAATCTTAAAAAAAAAAAAACCTTCAGAGAAACACAAATCAAGACCATAGAAGAGATCACCTTATACCAGGCAGAATGGCCATTATCAAAACCACGAAAAGCAAAGGGATATGGTGATGGTGCAGTTCACAGGACACAGGCATTTTGGAAAATGGATGGACTTTCAAAATTAAAAAACACTATTTCTGCAGGGTCTACCAATCCCACCTGGAGTATAACTCCAAGGAAATGAAACTGGCAGAGCAAAAAGACAGAGTTAGTCATAATGGCAAGTTCACTGCCTATCAGAAGAATGGGGGGGGTGCAAGAGAGCTGCTACCAGTATGAGGTCAACTTGGGCTATAGGAGTATGACCTTGTTTTATTTCAAAAAGTCAATAAACCAAGCCAGGTGTAGGGGGCTCATGCCTTTAATCCCAACACCTGGGAGGCAAAACAACTAATAAACAAACAAAGTAGGCCAATAAACCAAAAGACAACAACAGGGGGCTGGAGAGATGGCTCAGCGGTTAGGAACATTGCCTGCTCTTCCAAAGGTCCTGAGTTCAATTCCCAGCAACCACGTGGTGGCTCACAACCGTCTGTAAGGAGATCTGGAGCCCCCGCCCCCCAAAAAAAGACAACAACAAAATTAGGACAGGGAGAAGTAAAATACTTTCATCCCCTACTTGAAAAATAAACTAGAGCTATAACTCTGACACACATCTGAATTACAAGCAATAACGTATTCCAGACTGCAAATGACTTAGTTTGACTACGAAGTTTGAGAGTAGCCAACATGGGACATATCTGTCATCCCCTCACCCGGCATGGATACACGGCTGAGTCTGTGGCCAGCTAGGAATACAAGAACAGCAGTAAGAACAAAAGCCTCAGACCCTATACAGGCACAGTCAGTGTGCAGCTGACACCGCTACACCCAACTTACCATGCCACGGTTGGCCCTGTGCTCTTCCATGACAATCCCACTGATGGCCTGAAGGTTTCTGGTGATGGGGTGGACTGATAGGAGAGGGCAGGTGGAGAAGCAAGCTCGCAGTCACCACCACTCATGAGGATACTGCTCTCATCACGAGCCAACCCCTCAGGGTCTCATCTGTACCTAAGCCCCCCACCATTTAGTCCAATCACACTGCGTGCACATCAAAGCTTCTACACTGAATTGTGGTCATAACAAGTTCTTTTCTAGTCATCCCAACTTGATACTTCTGATCTGTCTGGAAACCTATAATCTGCTTATTATTAAGCTATGTAGATTAGGGGTCAAAGGTTGAAAGGGGACACAATGGCTTTTTCTAACAAGGGACTTTAGTGGACTGACTCTATACATTTGTCTGACACCCTCACTATCGACTAACATATTTATGGGGTATAATAACATTCTAATTCATATGTACACCAGATAATTATCAACTTGGATTATTTCGCACATTTACTACCTTAAACTTTTGTCATTTTTTCTTTTTAAATTTATTTACATGTATGAATGTTTTGTCTACCTGTATGTATGTGCACAATGTGTGTGCCCATGAATGGTTGTGGGTGCTGAGCTCTTAACTGCTGAGCCATCTCTCCAGCCCCAATCCTGTTTTGACAGTGCCTTCCTATGCAATCCTGCTGGCCTTGACCTTGGTATTCTCCTGCCTCAGCCTTCTAAATGCTGGGATTATAGGCAAGTACTCCACACCCAGCTGAAATGCTTTTCTTTTTATATGACAGTATGTATGCATGCATGCATGTATGTATGTATGCATGCATGTACGAACGTACATACATGAGCATGTGGTGGTCAGGGGACAACTTTCAGAAATCTGTTCTGTTGTCTCCTACCATGTGGTTCTCAGGGATAGAACTCAGCTTATCAGGTTTGGCTGAGCACACCAAAATTTTGATAGTACATTAAAATCCAGTCTTTTAACCACAATTAGACAATGATCTAAGGTCCTGTCATAATTAAACTTATAAATTACAAGATAGTAGTCCTCCCTTTTCTGAGGTTTTGCTGTGTTTTCAAAGTGGTAAGAAAGCAAAGATTTAAGTTTCAAATAACTTTCATTACAACTGCACAGTTTCAATTATTTTATCATCGGTTATTTCTGATCTCTTGCTGCCTAACTTACAAATGGAGCTCATCACAGAGATGTATAGAGGAAATCAGCAGCCACAGCCTACCGCTTCCTGTAGTCTCCAGCACCCAGAGGATGTTCTGAAATCCATTCCCATGATTGGGGGGAGACACTAGTAATGTGAACATTCTATTTGTTAATCTCTTCATCAGCTGACATGTGGCTGTTGTAACAACACCTTGACTATTAGGAATGACACCGATTTAACATGTAGATATTCATGCACAGGTTATAGTGTGGACAGCCATTTCCTGGAGCATCCCAATATGGAATGCTAAGTCACATGCTAACTGAGGAACTGCAGTTTTCCAATGACGGCAGACTTCACACTCCTGTCAGCAATGTGAAGACTCCAACTTCTCATAGTGCAGTTTATACTATGGAGTCTTTCGTGCTAGCCATCCTAGCTGACATGAAGTGATCTGTCCTGTCCTGCCTTCCCTAATGACTAATTCTGTCAGCTTTGCACCTCATGTCCTTTGGCTTTTCTAATATCCATCACCCTTGGAGAAAGGTGTCAGGACCTCTGACCTTTACTGTGTTTTAATCATCCCCTCAAAGCGTACGTGTGTGTGCTGAGGACTGAACCCACGAGCTTGTGTATCTGAGGCAAGTGCTCTACCACTGACTGAGACCTTCAGCATTATTTTTTATAGTCTGGATATAAACACACACACATTTCTGCTTATATATTTTCTCCCTTGATGGCTCACTCTCTTCTCCCATCTACCTCCCGCCCCCAGTCCTGAGGATTGAACCCAGGAGCATGTGTTCAGTGACGTCATTCTTTGAAGCATAAAAAGAAAATAAAATGTTTAAATCCCTGGCTGACCTGGAACCTGCAGTAACCCCCCTGCCCCATCTAATACACACAATCGAATTCTAAATGCTGGGCTCATATGTGCCACCACCTCAGGTCCTAGTGTTTAACTGTGATGAGATCCAATATATATTTGTTGCTACTGCTTGTGGGTTTGCTGTCAAATCTAAGAAATTACTTAATCCAAGGTTATGAGTTCTGTTTCCTGCTTTTCTCCAGGAACTCTACCTGTGACTGTGGGTCCAAATTCTGTCTCTGTGTGTGAGCAGCCAGTTGTATAGGCACTGTCTACTGAAAAGAG